TTACACGGAAACGATTCTGAAGAGAAAACCCAAAAGTGGCGTTGCGTTATCACTTTTTATTCTGCATTTAGACAAGTGTTTTTGGTGGGAAATCCTTGTGAATATGCTTTCGCAAAAGTGTGTGAAATTCAATGTAGTATGCACTCCAGGCGTCTAGGTGGCGATGTGAAGCACTGCCACACAACAACACCAAGTCCGCGCACCTGAGAACAACCTTCACTGTCAAGCAGACTTTTGCGTTTTACACGGGAACGCGGCGGTGTAGTGTTTTTAAGATTTCCACTCTGGAGGGTGGTTTCACTTTTTTGCGTTTTTAAGTCCCCAAACCGCCATCGTCATGTAAACGAAAGACGCATCCGATAAAATATTTTTACGTTTTCAGGGCGTAACAGGGCCTTAGTTCAAAACCTTAATTCGTCTTCGATATTTTTGATTTCTGAACCAAACATAGACCGCAACGTCATTGCAACTTTCAAGGCCCAGAAAGGTAGTAAAGACATTAAATTAGTCCATGTGACTACAGTGGTTCACATGTAAAGTTATGAAGCGATGACAAATACTTTTTGTGTGCAAAAAACAATGACTTTATTCAACAATCTCTTCTCTTCCATGTCATTCTCCTATGCTATTCACGTAATGTAAACAGTGCAGCGCTTCCAGGCTCATTATTGGCCAGCTCCTGCGTCAGCATCACATGAACATCATCGGTTAATAACGAGCTGACGTTCTGACGTAGAACCCGGAGGCGCTGCACTGTGTTTAGTGTAGGAGAACTACATGGAAATGAAGGCATTGTTGAATAAAGTCGTTATTTTTGTTAGTTTATCGGCGAGTACCAAAAATGAAAGTTTCAGTGTCTGACTCCCTCTAAAAAAGTGGTATAGGTGCATTCCTAGCTTTTTTGTTTAGTGATAATAACATTACAAAAATATGTATCCCTTCTAGATACTAGTTACGCCCAGAACAAGGACAACGGCCAGTGGTATTACTTTGACGACAGCAAGGTGACCTTCGCCAGGGAGGAACAGATTGTGGTGAGATTAATGCTTCTCTGTGGGTTGAGTGGTCGACATGAAATCAAAACAGACCCTTTTTACTTTAATACATTTTCTCGGCCTTGCTGTGCATGATTCATCAGTGCATTCTCTTCTAGACAAAATTAATGTTTGTTTTTCCTCAAAACACAATAACTTTCTCTGCCTCTTGGCCGAAAAGTCAGGTGGCCTCCAGATTGAGATCACATGTCGTCCAGCCACATCTTGGGAGTTGACTAATAATAATATAATTGAAAATACAATTTGTAAGTTTACTTTACAGGGTTAAGGTGATTTAGGAAAGCAAATCTAAACAAACCAAATTGTATAAGCAGAAAAAGACTTCTTAAAGGTGCATTGCACAAAATTTCATGTGAAAATAACCTGTTTTTCTAACCCATACATGCATAAACAATTGCCTGATGGGCTGAATGAGCCGTTCTCTGATCACTATGATTGCCTCTATAATCCTGTACAGTAAAATAAATAAGACTGGGGTGACGTCATGCGCGTTCACGCTCACCTGGCGATGTCTGGCAGGTTTGTGTATTCGCCGCCATTCTCCGTATCAGCGAAGACAACTCGAGCGACAAACCCCAACGCAAACTCCACGTATGACATAGAAAATAAAAGTTTTGTATAGTGCCAGGCGTCGGAATAAGACGAGAGTCAACATCGGGAAGCTTTCAACAAATGGAGAGATCTCCGGTTTGCTCTAGGGCTCAAATAGGATCCTATACAAAGTAATAACTTCTATTGTTCATGAACACGTTTCCATAATAATACAATCATAAGTGGATACGGTAAGCACATAAAACAGTTCAAAATGGTGATAGATGGAAACAAAAACCAAAGTTTTCTACTACCCCCGTTTTCCCCTCACACATAAGTGTGTAATTTACTCAAATACCTTTCCTTTCATATATTTAAAATGATTTGCAGATTTATAACTCGATTACCTCTGAAGACATTATGACTGTAACAAAAGATTTGTGCGGCAGATGCTCCTTTGGTTATAAATAGCTCGTGCAAGCGTGCGTGCGTGTGTGTGTGTGGTCCATGAACGTGCACACCTCTGGTTGCAGTTTCACTTGTCGCCAGAGGGGGCGTAGTTCTGCAAAAACTCAGAGACTTGTGCAATGTATCTTTAATGTGATTAATAACAGAGTGAAACAGCTTCTCAAACAAGCAAAAATGTACAGCGGGACATTTCAGGATTAATTGGATTATTGCTGTTGCTGTGATGTCATGTGAGTGGAAGTTATTTTGATAAAAAAAGAAAAATAATTTATAATAAATGCTGCAGTATTCCCTATAATAAAGAATTGTCCATTTTCATTTCATCCTGACTTTAATGCTGTTATTCAGCAAAGATGCATTCAATTGATTTAATCAATGAACCCTGAAAAAAAGCGTCACAATTTTCACAAAAATGTTAAGCAGAACAATTGTTTTCAACACTGACAATAAATGTTTCTTGAGCAACAAATCAGAATGATTTTTGATGGATAAAGTGATGAAGTAATGATGCTGAAAAATCAGTTTTAGTTAAATTTTTAATAACTTTTGAAATTGTCATAATATTTCATTATATTGCTGTTTTTGACCAAATAAATGCATGTCACTGAAACGTTCGATCTCCATCTGCTCTTGCAGACCAGTGCCGCCTACCTCCTGTTCTACCAGCGCCAAGACAAGATCCGCCAGCCCACCGTCCCTCCACCCGTCCCAGAGAACCACATCACGTCCCAGACCCATGACGCCGTGGACGGAGCCTCTTCCTGTGTCAGCATGGAGACGGACTGATTTCTGTCTTTTTCCTACTGCACTTCATTCTTTCTCACTCTTATCACTTCCCAACTTTAATCTTTAATCTACAGAAACTTGAACCTCGGCCTCTGACTCCGACAGGAATTGCGAGGTGGGGGCTACTCTCTCAGGCTGGTGCACAAGCATCATGGGGTGGGAAATGCGGATTTGTGTGTTTTTCTTAATGACGAACTCAAGGAAACGGGTTAAGCTGGTGGTGGCGGATGCATAGATCGCATACCTGTTTGTCTGCATCGCTTCAGAGATTGAGGTTTGCGCTGTTCGTCGTCACCAACTGTGTTCTTTATTTTTTTTCCTAAGCTTGCTTTTCTGAGCTAGCTAAGCTGCTGTCCACAATGGTGATGTCTGAACGCCCAACCTTGGGTTTAGCGAATCAGGCCTCCTGTTTATTCCATCAGCGAGGGCGCTATTAGCAGGGATGGTTTATCATATCAGGGACATCGTGATCAGAAATCCTGTTTCACTATGATGATTGCTGAGATCTTCTAGTAAAGTCTGTCCACTCACTCGTGATCTTATTTATTTTCGTAATTGCCAGATGCTGATAGAGATGGTTATAATTTAAAAAATCTTCCATTTTTATTTTCCTTCTTGTGATGCTTTTTCTCCGTCTGTCGTAAGGTCTGGGAAAAGCCCCTCTTTTGCGGGACACAAACGGAGGCCTGTTTTTTTTGTTTTTTTTTATCTTAAAGGAAAGGAAAATACGCAGCAAGATTTAAACATTACATTTTTTTTTTTTTGACTAATTGTGTTGAATTTATAAACTCTTTGGAGCGATGAGAATATTTCAGCAAAGTGCTTTCTGGATAGAGCTCTTTACATGATGATTTTTAAGGCACCTATGTACAGTATTTTTGTATTGTAATAAATGTTGTATTATCTTTGATCATTTGGATCAGATGCTGGGGATGGGGCGCTTTCATTTTATTTTGTTAATAATTATAGATTGAATATATAATTGTATACACATCTTTTGATATGAATAAATGACTATAAAGTCGAGGTTAGATTGGACACATTTGGCTTCCATTTACGTTGTTTTACCTCTGAGTGAGAGGACGCGTATCCTTTGGCAATGGGAAATGCATTCATTTGTTTTATACCGACTGCATATTAACACTTCTTAGCTGTTCACAGCGTTGTAATTCATTAACGATCTTCTAGAAAACGCTTTTTCATTTGCACTTCCTATTAAGTGACTGCTTTATTGCATATCGCTGTATGTGACAGGAGCACTTAATACCTTCAGGATGTTCTAATATCTAATATAAATCACATGGGAATCTCATAAAATCTGTACAGAACTAAAGTAATCAAAATCAAAGGCAAAATGTGAAATTATATTTTTATATAATCAATTTTGGTAGTATTTGTTTACTCCTTTTAATTTATGCATATTTAATAATAAGACATAGATGACCTGGACATGTTATTGACTTATTTTTTCTCGAAGTCTGCTTTACAAATGGACACTTTTTAAAATAATTCCTCAAAGATTTAGGACATTTATTTCTCACCTATAGTCTTCCATTTTTGTACAAAGTTTACTGAATGCAACAATCTATTTAAAGATAGCTTCAGGTTTACTATTTTATAGTAATTAAATGGCTTAATTTTAGTATTTAAATATAAAATAATTTGCTAGTTCTGGAAACAGCAGCTTCAAAAAGTCACATACAGCCTAATTTTTTTTTAATGCAAGTGTTTCAAATAAATCCAAATATTTATTAGAGCTGTTTGACCTGCAGTGCTTTCATGTTTTTGTGAAATCGATGTGTATGAACAATTGAATTGTTAGAGCGATTCAATTAGTCTGTCAATGCAATATAAAATTTCACAATATTCTGAAGCCCAGTAGACTTCACCATATAGTCACCAAATTTCATATTTATGATTTTGCATTTTCTGTATAGAAATTTAAAAAAGTGATCAAATAAAAGCTTATTTGAATTTTGAGCATATGTAGTGTTTTCTCCAATTATAACATGAGAATATGATCATTTCAAACAAGTTTGTGTTTGAAATGTGGAGTCATGTAAGTGTTAAACTTTTGATTCACAAACCATTTTCCGACTCAATCATTTCCTCTCGTTTTGAGTCAATCAGAGACGAGCACAAATTAATTTCCTCCTCACCTTAGGGTTCCATATAATGTTTATTAAATTATTACATTCCTCTCAATTACAGAGACCAAAATAGTTTTTACATTCAATTTGCTGTTATAATATCGCTGTGCCTGAAACAATAAGGAACTGTGTGATGATCACCAACCACAAACTGGATAGCAACCATTTAATGAAAGATTAAAACGAAACTGATGTTTTAACTGGGGGAAAAATATATATATAATTTTTTATAAGGCACAATTTCACACATATATAAACTTAAGACATAAAACATGAGACATTTATATAATTTAGATCTTTACTGTGACTATCAAATTAAACGTTTATGTGCAGTTCACCAAAAACTTAATTTCAAACATATTGTAGATTCTTTGCAGGACATTAACATGGGTGTTAAGACATTCAAAACACTATCAGGATCACAGCAGTCAACAAGTACCAACAATCGAATAATGTTAAGAAATAACAGCTCAAGTTCAGCTCAGTTTCATATCAAAAGGTGGTTTGCAATCAGGCAGGCGTTCTTCTTACTGTAGATCTTAGCTAAAGAGTCCTCTGAAGTTCAGATCCTGACACATGAGTTCCTCTTCAACGTTTTCCAGGGCCCATTTGTGCTCCACGATCTCCAGGGCTTCCCACTCGCTCTGAAACAACCGTAAAGGAGAAGACATTCAGAGCATTGCAGAGCTTTACACATCCTGCTGAACGTCACGTCTCCTTTTGTTTGGGTGAGTAAATGAAGACCAAAAGATCTTCTCGTGTGTGAGATATATTGTGTAATGGAACTTATTGCACCTAATACAATCTGCATTCCACAAGAAATAGGTTTCAGTAGTCCTGTAATTATGTGAGCTTCAAAACAGCAACGGTTAAAGTTTCACAATTATCTTAAGATGATAAGGTTATGAAAAAATTAAAGCGAGCACGTTTCCACATTGAGGCTTGTGTTGCATACGTGGGGGCGTAGGCGTGATTTCCCAAGAAAATTTACTTTAACTAAATTTGTGCTAACCACAAATAACTCAAACTGCAGCTGGCATTTTGTTTAGAACGTTTTGGCTTGTCATGGAACAAATAATTCATATTGATAAAATAAAATCACATAAAAACAACAGGTTTACTTGACGCAAATCATGTTCTACTCACCTTAAATGCTTTATTAGGATCAGGGGGCATCGCCATCGCAGCCCCTGTCATTTGATCCTGCATGATTCTTGACTGATCTGCAGCTAAAAATTAACAAATATCTAAGATCTAAAGCTGATATCAAATGCCATATAAGATTAAAATGTTAATAAATATACACACACTGGCCAAAGTAGCTGTTTGGATTTAAATAGGCAAATGCTTAAAGGGATAGTTCACTTTGAAATACATTTTTGATATGTTTTAGGTGTCTTTGTTTCCGCAGTATTTTCAATTTTGATATTTTTAGGTTAAACCGTTCTTGTCTGTCAGTCATATAATGCAGGTCTATGGTCACCACCTCAAAGAGTGTGCACAGAGAAATCCTACAAAGACACCTACATCTTGGATGCCCTTGAGGTAAGCTAAAACATACCAAAAAATTATTTCAAAGTGAACTATCCCTTTAAGAGTCAATGACTGGATCATTATTGCAGTGATTGTCATGTAATATGTTTGGCAACAGTTCTTCTAAACCTAACTGATGGAGTGTGTACTGTAGCTTTTACAGAGAGCTGGACTCTTGCATTGTCAATACAAGATCTTGACCAAAACATCACAACATTTATTTGGTCAAGATCTCGTATTGACAACGCAAGAGTCCAGCTCTCTGTAAAGTCTCCTCCAGCACATCCCAAAGACTTTCAATGAGTTTAAGTTCTGGTGCCAATTCATTTGTGAAGATGATTCTTCATGCATCACACAACCATTCTTTCACAATTTGAGCTTGATCTTGACATCTGGAATATGGCCAAGGTGTGTCTTCCTACATGGATGTTTAAGAAATGAAAAGCATTTGCCTATTTAAATCCAAACAGTGACTTATTTTGGCGGGGAAGTGTATGTGTATATATAATAACATTTCATATGATACAATAAAGTTGATGTCATAAAAAGGTCTAAATATCTTAAAAACAACCAACCATTGTCTTGTCCAAGGATGAGGGTGTACATGCTTCTGAGCCCAAACACATTGAGAAAATACCATGAAGCTGAACTGACCCTAAGAGCGACAAATTCAGATTTTATGCATACAGTCGTTTTCAGTTTCTGTCAACAAAATAAAAAACCATCACATCGTATACTGTACCATGAGGCGTCCAGGGAGACCAGCTCGATTCCTCTCTGTAACATGGGCTTGAATCTCAGAGTAAGAGGAAACGGCACTTTTGCTGAAAGGAAATAAGCGGCACAAAATTAAAACAACATTGAGAATAGGAAGAATAGGCTACCGCACAGACAGAAGCGCCAATGTCTTCAGATCACTTGGACGTGGCTGTGATTACAAGAGGTAAAACAACATAAATACTGTTCGTTTTCTCACACAAACCGCTCGTTTCGTGTCTTAGGCCATTAATGTGTACTTACATTTACAAGTCATTAAATCATGTTTAATTTGGACTTGTCTGTGCATGCTCTTTGAGGTGGTGACCATAGACCTCCATTATATGACTGACAGACACAAACGGCTTTTACCTAAAAATATCAAAATTGAAACTACTGGGGAAACAAAGACACCTACATCTTGGATGCCTTTGAGGTACGCTAAAACATACCAAAAAATAATTTCAAAGTGAACTATCCCTTTAAGGGATAAAATGAATGACTACAGGGGAACATTAGCAAACTGTAACCACTTTAACACCAAACACAAGCCTCCGCCAACCGCTTGCATCAGCAGTGGACTGAATAGGCACGTATGAAGGAATCCTACTATGGTTAGCGCCCACTTACCAACGTCTGGCTTTCAGAAAATGAGTTTTGAATGTACTGGCCAAACGTTACATCACCCAATTAAAATTCATGAGCCGGCTGTAAAGGTTTAGAATGTCTCCCTTAACATTTCAGATCCTTCCTACAGCCCTGAATTCGATCACATTGTTTTGGCAATAAGACCACATTTGCACATGATTATTCGATTCTCCTCTGCTAGTTTAATCACAAGTAACAAAAGCTCATACTTGTGACAAAACCAGAAAAGGCCCAGTTGATCCATCCTCCAATAAGAATCATTGGCAGCACATTGGTCAGATTCCCTTTCATCATGTCCATCACCATGCTGGGGTCTGGGAGCGAAAAAATGGACAGGTTTTCAGACATAGTGATGAAGCATAGAAGGTCATTTCCTCTAGTTCTAGGATGTTAAAGTAACATCTTACCAGTCATGGGGTTTTTGGGGGTCACTTTTCTTTTGACGTTCTTGAAGAATCCAGTCTCAGGGTCATTGAAATAGTGTTTTCGCATGGCGAATGACTGCAACGGGACAGCGTTGTTTATCAGTGACACATTAAATCAATAAATAAAGGCCTGGTTTAAAATACAGGGCTTAGATTCACAGAAAAAAAAAAAAACAGAAACGGAAGCTCGATGTGTGAGAACCAATGAGGTTCATTCTCGTGTTACGCGGCACATTTGAGCTTCTGCAAGAACCAATGAGGTTCATTCTTTTTATGTCAAAACAAAAGCATGTACGGTTGAGCTTCTGTTTATGTTCACTGTTCTCATCAGCAGTCTCATCAATGTTTATATACGAGTAAAAGCTTAAATTCAATCTGTTCATCATATAAAGGGGTCGAGCCTTTTCAGAAAACTTGGACTAAACCGCTCAATTCATGTGGATTAGCATCACAATCTTTTTATGAACGCGTCTTTTTGGACGCATCAAAGTAATAGTTGCGTAGCTGTCAATGGAGGGACAGAAAGCTCTCAGATTTAATTAAAAATATCTTCATTTGTGTTTTCTTACGATTTGGGACGACATGAGGATGAGAAATGAAGGTGACCTTGTCTGTGAAACCAGGGGAAAGTTTTAAAAGTTGACTCCATTCATAATTAAAGTAATTAATACCTGTTTGGGAATATATTTTCCATTTTCTCTCAAAATGCGGCTGCGTAGCAACACCTGGCTGTGGATTAAAACAACAAATGAATTAAAGGCTTGCTTTAAACACCTCTGGTTATAAGATTAGACTAGATTAAAATGTTTGTCGAGACAAGCTTAACTAGAAAGTTTGAAGTGGTTTTAAATAATAATAATAATTAATTAATAATTCATCACATTTATATAGCGCCTTTCTGGACACTCAAAGCGCTTCACATAGAGGGGGGAATCTCCTCAACCACCACCAGAGTATGAAATAGTTTTAAACTTTCAAGGTTTTAAGTAGTTTGAAAAGCTTGAATTTTGATTATTATAGATAAATGCAAATGTGTTATGTGAAAACAGCAACAGTTCCAATGAGATTATAAAACACACTTCCCTCAAAATGTTATTCAACTGGTAAAAATAATTTCTCTAGGACTCAATGTGCTTGCAGGAAATTAAATTGGTTCATTACATTTCCATTTCTATATTTAGTAATGGGAATGAATTAAAAAGTTCTGATAATAAGGTTCGGTTCGGGTAAAACTGAAATGTCTCCTTTTCGATTCAGATGTATTTTGCATGATGACTTATACATGTGTATTCCCTGATAATGCATAATACTCGGCAGTTAAAAGTTTTTATTGCTAAGATAAATAGACTTTTTGAACGTTTTGAAGTCAATTCTAATGCACATATAATATTACATAGTTAATGTATTTAGTCTGTTTTCTATGTAAATGTTCTATGTTGTGAGCTTGATAACATGTTAATGGCTGAACATTTGCATCAGTTATCTCACCTATCAGACACCTGCTGCAGATCCACTTTCTTCTCACTGTGAATCAGTTGAGTGACGTAATGTCGCAGAACTCCGACGAAGAAAGTGATGAAGACTATGGGCAAAACAACCCACAGGCGAATACTGGAGTCAAGCAGCAGCTCTGGACCTGCCATTCCTATACTGACTACTCCAAAACTATCCTTTACAACTGTCTGAACTCAAAACACTGACACTTTTAAGTTTATTATAATGCTTGAGACTAAAGCACGGTGAAAATTCCAACTATGTTAAAACTATTAAACTTTTATACGAAACAAACGGCACATTTCTGCATGAACATGCGCCTTCTGCGCAGCTGCTGTTTGACCTTTGAACTAGTAGCGATGTGCGATTCGTGAACGAGTTCAAATGAGTCGGATCTTGAACATGTTGATTCACTTCACAAATGAATCAGTCCGTCCTGGGCGTCCTCATTGAACCGAGTGTCTTTGAACTTGACAGTTTGATTAAGAAATAGAGCTGGTTTTAATAAATAGTATGTGTGTACGAGCATACACATATAAAGCTTTACTGACGTTTTGAGTATGTAATATGCCACGCGAGAATGTCAGAGATCACATCATGAGATAAAAACGTTTTAACCCGTTCCTTGAGACGAACTATTTCCAAGAACCGATTCGCAGAAATGAATCAGACCGTCGTCCCATCACTACTTTGAACTATGACGTATTTAAATATGGATTTATATTTTATGATTCAGTTATTTTATATCACTAACCGATAGGCAAAATATGCCTTAAATATAAAAAAAATGTTTATATATTTTAAAGAAGAAAAAGTTAGCAAACGCCACTTCCGGTTTTGAGTACATTTCCGTGTGTCTCTTGTAAACAAGTGGAGAGCCACGTGACGACAGAAGGACGGGTTTATAGCCTTTTCACGAGTATATTCACACGAAAACAAAATAATCTGTACGATTTTAATCGCTGTGTCAGCCCCGATGTTTGATGTAGATTAATAATAGAAACGTAGATTATTGTTTAAGGAAGTATCTGCAACCATCTTTTCGTCACATCATGACTTCTGAGACGCTAGGGATTGATGAAAAAGTCTTGCAGTATGAGACATTCATCAGTGAAGTGTTGAGACAAGACTTACAGTAAGTGCCATCACTTAATTATTTCTTTGGTGAAATACATTTGCGTATTGCACGTACAAAACTCGCATAGTATTATGTTTTGTACCATGTAATCCCACGAGTTCAATCGCAATACCATATTTTTACATGTAGCATGGTAATACCATGTATTCTTTGTGGTACCACTGAGCACCAAATAAATTCCCATAGTGCACAATAATGTATATTATTATAATAACCTATTCTAGTATTATATGTGTATCTTAATGTATGTATATCTTATTCTACAAATTAAACATTCATAGTTTTGTAAAGCTAATCTAATGCTATTTCGATTCTGACAGGAAAGTGTTGGAGCAAAGAGATGCGGTATATGAGAAAATAGCACAATACCTTCAGCTGAAGAATACAATACAAAGCATTCAAGTAAGTCTTGCACTCATATATTTCCATAAATATATATATGAAAGCGCTTTTTCTTTTCTTCCTCTCGTTCTGTATTGTGTGTTTTTTGTTTTTATAATACGTTTTTTTGCTGTATTTTATTCATCTTTAGGAAACTGACAGCAAAGAACTCAAAACTGATGTTGACCTTGGATGCAATTTCTATGTGCAGGCTCATGTGTAAGTACTGCAAGTCTGAAGTCGGCTCGCTATGCCTCTGTCTAACATTTTGAAAGAGTAAACTCATAAACGATTCATTTGTTATCTAGACCTGACGCATCAAAAATATATGTGGCAGTTGGTTATGGATTCTTTGTCGAATTCACCCATGCAGAGGCTTTGAAGTTCATAGAAAAGAAGACGAATCAGCTAACCGAGTAAGAGGACTTTCCCTTTTACTTTTTGATCGTTTTGAAATGTGCATGTATGCCCACAATGTTTATCATTATTTTAATTCTTTAGGTATACCGAGGTTCTTAGTAAAGATGCAGCAAAGATAAAGGCCAACATCCGCATGGTTCTGGAGGTACAAATGATTCTGCTTTATTATTGTCCCTTTTACAGTTTATTGTGATGATGAGTAAAACATAATCTGTTCTCACAGGGATTGAGGGAACTGCAAGGTCTGAAGGATCTTCCAGAGACCAGAAGGAGGGAGGTGTTGTAGTACATTAATCAATGACAGCACACACAGTGTATTATTTTTGCACACATGACTGTAATGTTTGTTTCAAACAATGTGAACATTATGGCACTCAGTTCAGAAGAGCATTGCCTTTTAACAGGTTATACTGTTGTTTTGAAAATTTTGCTGAATAAATTGTACAATTTTTAGTACAACTTTCTGTGGCATTGTGATCATTTTAGATATACATCGCTGTTTGTATATGCAATACACTAAAACATAAATTCCTTCATAAATGATCTATATGAATAGATATGATGTAGAAAAAATAGGCTCACCTTGTTTAGGTATGACAAGCAATTTACTATTAAAATTGTATTATTGGAAATGAAGAATGTCATGATCTGCTCAGACCTTTGGTGTTGGTTTGACTTTCAGCATTATACTATGCAGCTATTCCATATGTATATAATATATAACATTAAAATATGTTGGGAAAAGATGTGAGTTTATGCTGATTCTGGAATTACAAGTAGTATTTATTTGTTGGTTGTATCTACTAATAAGAGGATAAACTATATAATCAGTTCTGTGCTGCATTTGGGATTCAATAATAAATGAATTAATTGATTATTAATTAAACTTTTATTTTAGCTGTTGATGAATGATTGATGAAGACAGTGGTTAATGTTAAGTTTCTGCAGCATCCATATGACGGCTACCCTGTCACACTAGTAACAGTTGCCATGGAAACTGGATGTTGAATTGTGGCAGCACTGTAAGACTTGCTTCCTGAAATAGATTATTTTTCTTTGTACAAAGACTCACTGCCGCATTTGGGCACAATGACAATCATTATAATGTGACAGTATCAGCACTGGCTGTGGAATTTCAGATTATATATTATTCCGGATTTACAGAGACCTTTATTGTACTTACGATTTCCAACGAATCAGTGTCTGAAGATCATCTATGCTTCCTATATTATTCTATTACATATGCAGTATGCATTGTTTTGGCCATACATTATGTCAGCGGTTTTCAATCTTTTAGATGTCACGGACCCCCAAATATGATCAACTTATCGAGGGACCCCAATCCTAAAATTAAATTGGCAGCTATAAATTTTTCTCTTTAAAGACTGAAAAAATGATCATAAATCTGTGTAAAATATATATGAAAAAAATATTTTGTTTACATTGTTACATTATTAATTTAGTTTCTACTTACTATAGTACTGAAAAGTTAGATGTATTACTTATTTACTCAAATCAAATGTACATTTATTTTTAATCATTTATTTATTTTTGATCACATTTATTTAAGTATAGTTAACATATTTATAAAATGTTTTACACTGTTTTTCTCTAAACCTTTCTATGGACCCCCAGCACTCTCTTGCGTCCCACTGGAAAACCCCTGCATGCAAAGTAGCAACCTGTGTGTGTGTGTGGGTAGTAAAATATGTGACAATTTTGACACTGTATGGCCATTTTTTGGTCATAACGAGGAAAACAGATTTTAAATTACACTAAGTGATGTTTTTTAATGTAAAAATGCAGAAAGTTGTCTGTGATGGGTAGATTTAGGGGTAGGGTTATGGATAGGGGATAGAATATACAGTTTGTGTACAGTATAAAAACTATGATGTGTACATAAAGGTATAAAACCTAGTTTGTGTGTGTGGGTGAGAGAGAGAATTTACGCATTTTCTTAGTGCAAAGATTTTCATTCGACCTTGGTGCAGAATAAAACCTCTCTCTTCCCAAGAAGAAAGCAACAGATAAAAGTTTGTCCTCTCATTCATTTTGCTCTTCTCTACAGCTGACTCACGTCATGCCTGTGCAGTGACGTCACGGCCGCACAGGGGACTCGCGGACCAAAGAGGTGGAAAAAAAAAAGAAACAAGTAGTCGAGGCGTTCGTGGAAACAGGAAGCAAAGAGGGGGAAAGCAGAGCGGAGGTTGTTGTTGTTGTTACAAAAAAAAAAAAAACTTCGGATGGGAGCGCTCTGTCTTTTACTACCCCGTTATTTTGAGCTCTTTGGACCAACAGTGCAGCCGCGCTTGCGGTTGGCTAGATCGCGAGGACTTTCCGTCCGTTGCCTGGACACCGCTGAGGGAGGGAAGATCGCGCGCTTCGCGCCGAAGTGGACGGTGCAACGGCTACCTGATCAGGAGTCTCGTTTTATTTGCCCTCCCTGACCATCCACAACACTGGAATGACCCTCACCTTACTGTTGTTTTATCACTTTAAAGGCAGGGCGTGACATTCCTCCTTTTAAACCGCGGCCCTAGTCGATTTTACTGGAGTATTTTGACGTTTGAAGAAGTCTTCAGTTCGTCTGACAGGAACGGTGCACGCGCAGGCAGCGTGAGCTAACGAGAGCTAGCGACTTAGCTGCTAATGTCAACTAACATGGAAGGAGAGGTGCATGTGTTACATAACAACCAAACGCAATTAAATCGCCGACTTCTGACACCCAGCAAGCACAATAATGGACGTGATTTAATCTCCAAAGAATAAAACCGCCCATAAAGACATTTATTTGGGAGAGATGGAGTCCAACCCGCTGATCAGCGGTAAGTTTTATTCCACTTCAAAGAGGTTGGACATGGAGGAGTAATTGCATTCGAGTTTAATAAAGTACTTGTTAGTCAAATAAAGGCATATACATTCACAACAAGCACTGTTTTATTCACGGTTAATTTGTCCATGAGTAGGATGGTGAACCAGAACGTTGTGTTCAAATCAATGTGGTTGTCCAAAAAGTATTAAAGGGACCATACACATAAATGGCATTTACTTCTTACTATGTTCAGGGTGGGTTAACCGGGGTTAACAAAACCTGTTGGAAGCCTGATGCACTTTAACTGTGGTTGAGCAACGTTAACTTAACATCCAAAACCAAATGTCTGACAGTGTCTTCACATGCCGCTTTTTCTGAATCAAATACAGTATATCAATGTTTGGCCGAAGTGTTAGTTTAACAGAATTGCATTTGTTTCAATTGTTGTTTGTATTTTAAATATTTTGATATTGAGTGTATAGAGCTGTCAAACAAGCTCGTGCCGTTGTGTTTGTAAAGGTGAAATATTATATTATATATATTTTTTTGTCCAAACGTGCATTGAACATGATTGTGCAATGCACATGGCAGTTTGTCTCTACTGTGTTTTTTGTGTAAATAAAACCAGTGACATCTTAATATTAACCAGCAGACAGCATGTTAACCCAAGGAGACAGGGTGGGCACATTGATGAACCCTCCAGGAACTGCTATGAAGCCCTACCTAAGACAAGAGTACATTTTTATTGGGGATTTGTTTGGTTTTAACACTGGATTAATTCTGCACACATCATGGTCCTGTCTGGCTCTCTCCGCCTTTCTGATGGAAATTGTCTATAAGTCATCATTATGCAGCTTGAGAATTCAAGATAATTGACTATTAAGCATTGAGGTCCCCAAACAGTCTTAAGGCAATAAGGCTGGGGAAATGGATCTGTGTTGTTCAGTGCCGCTTTTTATTTGCTTTTCTCAGATGTACAGGCTGATTTATGAGGCATTAGACTAAGGCAAGCTGTGCAGTGTTAGTCCCTTGATTAGTCATACTGGAGCTCTTTGGCTAGAATGTAACACTGCAAGGTGTATATGAGAATCCAAGTGTAAATAAGACAGTCATGCATCTGATTATGGTTTTGCGACCACTATGACACTTTTATCTTAAATACAGTGACCCTGTGGTAATTTTTGCTGTTAGATTTGGGTGGTGGTATTTTTTTAATGGAAGTGTAGATGTGTGGTTAAATCACCATTGCAGTATAGGTTTTTCATGAAAGCTAATGTGTTATTGTGCTTTGGGGAAAATCTGAAGCTGTTTGTTTTACTGGCTTAAACAGTTCAATAGATTCTGCTGTTAGTGCTGACTTTTTATAAAGCAATTTATAATTTTATATGGCATCATTGATTATCATGTTGCTATCTTAAAGAGGAGTTTCTCATGATGGTACTCATTCTTAAAAAGTGCCCCTTTTATGCTATTTTAAAGGTTCCGTGTTTTGTAGGTTTCCTGCAATATTTACATGCAAAACACTTTAATTTCCTCTTAATATACATTGCAGCATCACCTCATTTATCAAAGAGTCTGAAAACGGTTTGTTCGAAGATTCAGTCTCTCGAGAGCCTACTCTGCTCTGAATGGTCTGATGACTCAGTCTGTTGTGATTGGTTTACCACACACAGTGAGTGTCGGAAATGAAATGCCCGTTTCCATATCTGAATTTCAGCTCCAGAGGCTTCCTCAGCACTTGATACACAACAGTAATGTCGGTGTCGGTTTTACCCCAATCCTCATCTTTTGGAGGTGCATGTGGATTCGCAGTGCTGAAAAACAGCGTCTTCTCGACATGACAACAACACGAAACAAACTCTTCCAGTCTCGGCTACAATTACAGCGTTTGAGTGTCAAAGTAGACATTCACGAGCTGCCAATAAAGGCCATTGACTGGCATTATGCAAAGTTGAAAGAGGAATTAAAAGCATCATAGGGGCACTTTAAACAACTGGCTTTGTTTTTTCAATGGCTGTTTATTTAGGGATGCATCTAGTTTAAAATTAGGTCTGATATGTTAAGACTGTTCTGTTTTATAATCTATGGTATTTGCACTTTTTATTCTAAATTATAAACTTAAAAACTGAAAATTCTTTTCAATGTCAAATCAATGTTGTGATGATTAAGTGAATTTAGATCTCACGATATTATAATGTACAGAATAAAATATTGGTAACTACTAATTTTGAGCTGAATGTGGAGATGATAAATTCCAAAAATATACAATTTTTACCATAAGTGAACACTAAGTTGACTCAAAAGAGGAATAAAAATTAATCTTTTGGAAATTGATCTTAAAGCCTTAATTTTAAAAAAATGAGGAAAAATCCAACCTTAGTTTAGTGGACACCAATTTTCTTTGTGAATGAATAATGTATCGTAAATGAATAAATGTTCTTCCTTATAACACGGGTGCATAACTCAGGACACCCTTATGTTAAATTCCCATAGGTGCAGGCATTGCAAATCTAACCAGCTATTTAGATTAACTGAAATAAAACCATGCCAATCTCTAGGTGTGGTGAAGGGTGTGTGATGAATTCCAGAAGGCCAGTGGAACTTTATCAGGATGTATAGTATCCTAGATCCATGAAATAACTGGCCTTTAACAATAAAAGTCTGCCTGCCTCTATGGGAATTTAACATAAGGGTGTCCTAACTTATTGCAGCCTGTATTATAAGGAAGAACATTTATTTATTTACAATACATTATTCATTCACAAAGAAAATGTGTGTCCTTAAAGGTTGAATTTTCCTAATTTTTTAAATTAAGGCATTAAGAAGATCAATTTCCAAAAGATGATTTTTAGTCAACTTTAGCTTGGGTGTGTTCACTTATGCTAAGCACTGTAGGTGGGACTCTTAAGGTCTCTAATATTTGTTGAAATTTAATGATGTCTTTTCATGTTAAAATGATAGCAGCTAAAGAAATCTAAATCTAAAATATACAATATTGACTAATACTATTTAGATAAATAATCTTGACAAATAACTTATGGTACAAATCTATAAAACATTACTTTGTGTTCTTTTTACAGTACAGTATTACACAAGCACTTTTAATATATTTTATTGTATGTTTAGTGCTATGCGTAATTCTACATTTAACACTTTTTTAATTGATCTATTCATATGAATTGCTTATAACTAAAGTGATATGTATTCTTCAGACAAATCTTTTATGTAATATTTTATGGATGAATAACATTGTTTTATTCTTTTCCACCGTTACTTTCAAGCCAATCTACATGTTCTCAATGCATAATTAATTATTAATTATTGTGTATATTTCTAGCTGGAACAATTATTATTTTCCACTTTTTTGTCAGTCTGTATGGAAATGAGTAACGTCAGCAGTTTTGCCGAGAAATGTTGATGATTTGATGAGTAATTGTAGATAATAGGCTAACAGGACAATGTGACATTTAAATCCTGAGCTACAGCTTTGTAAAACCCTCTGTTTGCCTTGGTGTGTGGTTGCACAAGCTGTCCACTGGAGTTTCAGTCCTAGAATGACACCGTTTATTAAAGGCATTTTACTGTTAATGAATGCACTCACTCAATCACTTACAGCTCATTTTAATGACATTTTAATTAATGAATGTGTTAATTAATGAGATTTTGTGCGCTGAGTTTAAATGGAAGCGGTTGCCTTCGTTGTCATCAGCAATTGCCTGCGATTTATTTGGTTCAGTGTGCTTAAAAGGTGGCGGGGTCTTTTATATTCCTTAGAAACTGTTGCTTAAATGCTTTTACCATGGTGATCGTTTCTAAGGTGTTGCTTATGAGTTACGTAAATGAAGGGGGGGGAATGGTAATCGGGTTCATTTGCATTCTCAACATGTTCTTCCTGAACTTGTGATACACGTCCTCTGCTGACTGTAGCACCATTAATTCTTGCCTGTTTTCCCTCGATGTCACTGCAGATAAAATGTTCACTCTCCATTTACACTCATCTACTCAATCCAACCATAAAAAATGCCTACAGGAAGAGCATTTCATTTACTGTACTTATTTAAATCCCAAAAGGCTGATTTTTTTTTTCTAACATGGCTGCAGTTCCAGAACATATTAACCATGAAAATGAAATCTAGATATTTTAGATGCAGTATTTTTTTTGCAACATAGCTAGTAAAACCAGTCATTGTGTTTAAGGTTTACAGCACATATGACTTGATTGTGAGATATCGGCATATATTTCAGTAAATAGATAGTTATTACAGGTTGTTTTACATTTAGTTAGAACTAATTGAATTGTCCTTGTCAAATCTTAACATGGTACTTAGCACTTACTTATCACCCCTAAACTTTAAACAGTAGTTTACAAATACTGTCTGGTTAACATAGTGTGTTTTCTGTGCCCTGTAGCGATGGATCCGTCCATTACATTGTGGCAGTTCCTGCTACACCTGCTGGAGGATCAGAGTCAGAAGCACCTGATCTCCTGGACGTCTGGGGACGGGGAATTCAAACTGCTGGATGCTGAGGAGGTGGCCAGACTCTGGGGGCTTCGCAAGAACAAAACCAACATGAACTATGATAAACTAAGCAGGGCACTTCGTTACTACTATGACAAGGTATGCATAGGAATCTCTATGACTGTGAATCAGGCATTTGGTCCATTTCATTTGGCCCTATTTGGGATGGTATGACCATAGTCTTATTTCACAATATGAAAAATTGTATTTCACACTAACGATATCTTTGTTATTAAAAATAAGAAAAAAGCAAATTAAAGGCATTAAAAATGCAAATTAAAGGAATTCCCCAAAAATACTTTTTTTCCAAATTTGTTTAAGCTGTCTTTATATATCAATGCATAATTAAAATGTAAGTAATCTGGAAAAGAAATTATAAGTGACAGGCAGTCTGCAAGCTCTAACCTGTTAACATGGGAGCCGAAATAAAAACAGACACGCCACGCAGCCAGTGTGTCACAGGGCACTCTGTGCCACCGCATAACTATAGAGTTAAAAAAAATTGAACACATGATCGGGCCCGATTTCCGATCACTTGATCGGATCGGGACATCCCTAAATTTTGTATTGTATAACATAATATATGGTGAATATTATTATTGCTTTCATACTCCCACAGAATATTATTAAGAAAGTTAGCGGCCAGAAGTTTGTCTACAAGTTTGTGACCTATCCGGACCCCAACTCTGCTGATGGTCTGAGAGGGCCTGAGGATTCACAGAGGGCCTCTGCGGGAGAGAAATTGGAGCTGTCCAATCAGACCAAACCTCTAGGTGCTGCTAACAGCACCAGCCCATGTCTCTCCAAGAGCCTGCAGGTTCAGCGCTCCTCCCCCAGCTCGGTGCAACGCAGCTCCCGCAACGATTACATGAAGTCTGGTCTCTACTCTACTTTCACCATCCAGTCCTTGCAGTCACCCTGCAAAAGCACTTCTAAATTCATCAAAACAGAGCACGTCTTGATTGACGGCAGCCCCAAACCTGCCCCTCTGGACCACACAGTGCATGAGGTCAGCTTTATTCTGGATTTCATGTTCTGATGCCTCAAGTTATTAGTTAAACAAGTTATCAATGGGTTGTAAAACATTGTGAGGACATCAGGTATTTGATTCACAGTGATTATGTATGTGTATCATGTTGCAGATACGAATGTGTCAGACAGAAGGGCAGCAGGGAACTGTTCAGGCCCAGTCGACTGTGGAGAGCAGCAGTCTGCAGGTGATAGTGACCCACCCCTCCCCATGTGCTACACCCGCTCTCAGCCCCCAGACACCCTCTGGCTCAGCCTCTGCAACCACAGTAAGAATGGCTTGTTTTGGGCAAAATCGTCAGTCTTTGATTGCCTTGTGTGACATGTTTACAGTCGTGCTAATCATGATTGGAGTGAATCTCAGCCTCTGACTAAGTTCTGATAGTGTCTGATGCAAGCTCTTTTTCCAATTAATAAAATCAAGTCCCACACAAAAAATAGTTTGTGACGGTTGAAAATGTCACCGTATGGATGTAAAAGAGTTACAAACTAGTTTTTATCCATTGCTCATTGATGCACTCATTGTAGCCTCCTGGTCAACATGACATTGTTAGGCAGATTTATAAAAGATCAGAAAAAGTCAGCTAATCAGCATGCAATCCAACACCCATGATATATAGTTGTTATTAAGACATCTGTGCATAAAAACATCTATCCGTCCATCCCACAGAATGCTCAAGCGCAGAAGAGCCAGAGTTTGGGTGACCCACCACAGATCTACTTGTCCGATCCTAGCTCTCTGACCTCGCTAATTCCTCTGGCTCATGGTGAATGTGTTGTCAACCCCTCTCAGCCTGTGTTTGTGGTCATAAAGCCTCCTTCTGTCGGGCCGCCCAAAGAGTCAAATCTCTCGCCTGAGGAAGACTTGCTGGAGATTGTCGATCTGGAAGAAAAAACAGATGTTGAGGTGAACAGACATGTCACAATCATTTATGAATTATTCAGTGTGTACATCAAAAAGGGGGAGGGGGAGGTGCTTGGAATGAAATGCAAGAGTTATTTATTCATTTTATTTGCCATACTCAGTCGGTGTCCACAGTGCCTGTCCCTGGAGATACAGATGCCCCAATCCCTGTGGATGAACCTTCACCCTGCGTGGAGCCAGTGGCCCAGCCGGTTGGAGAAGGGGAAGTGGAAGAGAAGCCTGATTTAACTGGTTAGTCAAAAGTTCTGGTTGATTCTGGTTCATTAAAAAGACTTTGAGCTCAGAATAGCTGGATATTCAAAGCATATGTCTGATCTAGTTTTTAGGGATATTACATTTACAAATTCCAATTGAATCTTTTTGTAACTGATAGCTCATTCTTTAGTGTTTTAGTTTCAGTAATAAAAGGGACATCAAATAAACTCTATATTAATACTTCAAGTGGCTTGGCAACTTTAAACAGCCTAGTGTTAAGCTAATTAATTGCTGTTCTTGAAAGAAGTCTTGACTGTTTTCAATATATTTAAAATTTTAATTTATTCCTGATGACGAAGCTGAATTTTTAACATCTTTACTCCAGTCTTCAGTCAGTGTCACATGATCATTCAGAAATCATTTTAATATGCTGATTAAATGCTTTAGAAAGATTTCTTATTATTATCAATGCTAAAAACAGTTACCATGATAAATGTTTTCGAAATGATTTTAAAGTTTGAAAGAGCAGCATTTATTTAAAAACAGAAATCTCTTGTATTGTGATAGATTTTTTACTGTTCAATGTTTTTATAAAAACAGAATCAGCAATATGATAAAATATATATTTATTTGAGGAAGAACTAATCACAATAAATTCTTCCACCAATATAAACTACTAGTTTTTTTTTAAAGGAAAAGGATGCATTGGAATGATTAAAATCATTCCTGATTTTTTACTTTGATCATTCCAATGCATCCTTTTCCTTTAAAAAAAACCTCTTAGTAGTTATATTGGTGGAAGAATTTATTGTGATTAGTTCTTCATCAAATAAATATATATTTTATCATATTGCTGATTTTTATAAAAACATTGAACAACTTCAAGGAATGCTTTACAGTTATTCAACATAGTTGTAGGTCAACAAAGACCGCAGTGTTTAAAAATCAATTGCCAATTTCAGCCCTTCATTCAAAACTGTTTTCAGAGGACACAAATACTTCATCAGCCTCCCTCTCAGAGAGCATGCAGGAAGTCCAGCCTCCTAAATCAAAGAAGCCACGTGTGCTGGAGCTGCCATCCTCGTCTACACTGCTGCCCATTGGTCTCTCACTGGATAAGGTCAATGCAGCGGTGAACAGCCTGCTGGCCTCTGGCAGTGCCACAAACACCTTAACACCCACAGTCATCACCTCCCATTCCCTGGTGAGCCATCCAGTTCATTATTATGGTTGTTCAAAAACATGTGCTTACATGTAAACATACTTTTTTTTTTAAAGGAGAACTCATTTTTTTGTACATTTGGAGTGCTGTCAGTGTTATTGTCTTTTTAAAATTCGCACCCTGTTGACTTCAATGGGGAAGCAAAAAGCAAAAAACAGGAAGCAAATAGAGGTATGTGAGCTGGCTGAATTAACATAATTTTTATTCATATCTTTCACATCTACTGCAGTCAGATTGACCGTGGTCACTCTAAATAACACCACTCACATGGCTGTGCACTCGTAATGACAAATCAAGGATGTTAAGAGGCTAAAAGCAGGATTAGAACATGCCCCATTGAAGTCAACAGGGTGTAAATTTTAAAAAAGCGATAACACGGTGTAGGCAACACCGATTTTTGTCGTTTTTGTCTGTACTGACAGCACTCCAAATGTACAAAAAAATGAGCTCAATGTTAAAATTAACCAGAGTTCTCCTTTAATGCAGTTAACAAATTTAAATTAATCTGCACTGTTTGATGGAATTTAATTGGTGCTGTTTGCAATAGCATTATTAAGATGAAACCCACAGGAACGCCTCAGAAAATATATATTTTAAGCAGTTGACAGCCCTGATTTCAACACAATGCCCTCTTTTACCACATACAAGGCACAAAAAGATGACTTTTAAATGAGTGATCACAGAGCTTTAGTATTATATTACAGTCAATAGAATTCTATATTACAATAAAAAGCTAGACATTTGCTTTTGTGATACTTTTTATAATGATCAGCAATATCTTTTGTTTAGTTTTTTTGGGAGGCAACAATAGCATTTGTGTGGTATGAATGGATGCTTCACATGTACCAAGCTCTTACTCGCACAGTCTCAATGTGATTTTAACAAAGCCAGAGAGATACGAATGCTTGTGTTACCACCAGATAACCAAGAACAAAGAGATACAACACAATGACCTTGGAAAATGGTTCACACACACCCAACCTCTTCAAATCTCTCTCTCACTTAGACTCCAGTGCTGTTGACACCGAGTCCGCTGCCATCAACCATTCACTTCTGGAGCACGCTCAGTCCTATCGCTCCACGCAGCCCTGCCAAGCTCTCCTTCCAGGTGAGACTTCCTGTCCACACAGTTTCTGTCCACAGCATGGCAGCAGCACACCATCTGTCTCCTCACACTCCCTCGGCTCATCGCATGGCTGAGAATTTACTCTCTCCCCACTCCATTCATAACCATCAATTGCATCACAACATATGACATATTTTCTAAACTTTTCTAATTGTCATGGTACCCGATATCTTATTTACACATTTAGTTAACACTTTTATCCAAAGCTACTTGCAATAGAGATACATACGCACTGTCACAGAGCCTGCAATATTCATAGCAGGTTCATTAGAAAGCTGGATTAGAAAACTACATCAGTGGTTCTCAAAGTGTGTGTGGGGGTGGGGGAAGAAAAAGATGGGGGAAAACGGAAAAATCGTGGCAACCGCTTTAGCGGATGGCAGCACTTGCTGTTTTTTGTGAACTCTCCGCTCCCCTGCCGTTTTCTGGCTGGAAGACATACAAGAAGCTGCGCTTGTGAGGCGGCCGATTATGTATTGTTCATGCTACACCACATTACCTAATAATCTCTCTTATTTTTTATATGTTTTGAATGTTTCAATTGAAACACAAAGTAAAACAATTGCAGGTGCTTTTCATTGCAGTTTTTATTTTATTTTCACTTTTTGTGAAATTATTTGGTAGTCAGAAGGGGGGTTGAGCATTAGATTTTATAGAAGCCTAAAGGGGGGCGTCACCAAAAGACTGTGAGAACCACTGAGTATTTTTTAGATAATAAATGGTTCTGTAAATTCTGAATGAATGAGAAACGTTTCGAGCTGTTGTAATTTAGCCAGCGCTTCCCACACATTTAAATTATGTGTTGTTTATATTATTGTTTACAATAAAACAGTAACCTACAATTAGGCTACAATTAACTTATTGATAATAACAGCAGTTCATCACTCTTAATTGTCCATTTCAGTTTTATTATTATTATTATTATTATTTAATTATAATTAATGTCATTGTTACCTTATTTCTGTTGCCACCTTTTTTAATTAGTTAATTAAATTAATGTTTTATTATTAATACCATTATCAATAACTAATACTATAATTATTTATTACTAATTACTATTACAGTTTTTTTTATCATATTGCTGCCATTTTTATAAAGAAATGGACTAAACCTAGAATAAGGCTCTGCATTGTAGTGATTTGACCATGTTGTCTTTGGCTTATTCCTTTAGCGGATGTCAAATCTAGTGTCCTTAATTTGATGAAGGCTTTAGTTTTATTGCACTCTTCCTCAGAAAGGCATGTGAGCGTCCTCTGCTGGACAATAGCAGCAGTGCAGAGTTTTACAGGAACAGGCCCTGTAAACCTAACCCTACATGAACGACCTGCTGTCTGTCGTGGTAGATGTTCTTTTCGGACTGGTTTTGGATTTTTATTATAGTCTCTTAATATTGTCCTGTTTAATTAGTGATTACAGCGGTGTGAATAAGTGTAGGCACCCATGCTAAAGTTGCCTAAAAAGAGGAATAAAAAATCATCTTTTGGATATTGATCTTAATGCCTTAATTAGAAAAATGATGTAAACTCCAACCTTTAAGGACACCAATTTTCTTTGTGAATGAATAATCTATCATAAATAAATGTTTTTCCTTAAAATACAGGGTGCATAAGTCATTGCCCCCCTATGTTAAATTCCCATAGAGTCAGGCAGATTTTTATTTTTCAAAGCCAGTTATTTCATGGATCCAGGATAATATGCATCCTGATAAAGTTCCCTTGGCCTTTGCAATTAAAATACCCCCACATCATCACACACCTTCCACCACACCTAGAGATTGGCATGGTTTTACTTCAGTTAGCCTAATAGCTGGTTTGATTTGGATTGAAAGATGATCTTATGGAAAGTACCCCATGCCAATGTAAATGTATGATAGCAAGCCATGAATGCAGTACTTTTAATGGAGTGAAGCTTAAATTCTAATTAATAGCATGCTGATAGCGTGTAGCGTGTTATTGATGCTAATAGCGTGTTATTCTTGCAGTTCCCCTCCAACGGAAGCAATCAGATCCAGATCCCGGCACTGAGTGTGGACGGCCTATCCACACCTGTCGTTCTCTCCCCTGGACCACAGAAACCTTGACTTGCGATTTAATTCATTTGTCTCTTGCCTTGGTGATTGGCTCACTCCCCAGCCAATAACACGCTGAGGACGACCAATGAAAGATAAGACGCTCCATAAGTTCCGCTTCGAGTTGGGCGGAGCCTCTGCTCCAATGACGACTCGACAAGAGGAGTGCGCTCTCAGTTGTCCTCTACGATTGGTTGACAGAGCTGCCCGCTTCTGGGCTTCATGGTGGTATTTCATAGACCATTTGCTCTTTCGTTTTTCCCTTTGACTTTTATATGATCATCAACGGTTATTTATTTATTTTTGATGCGTCTTGGTGCATCATGTGATTGGTGCAGATTGTGAGTTTGGAACTCTGAGATCTCACTTCATTTTTGATTTCTCACCGTAACATTACGAGTTATGGACCAGACGAGGTAACCTCTGATTGAATCAAGGCATGAAATGCCATTTATAGACGGAGCATTGCTTTCTTGAAAACTTCTTTCTTTTTGTGATAATAGAAAGCATGCATTTGAAATCTGACGGATTAAAGTGCAAGATTATTTTTTTCTTTGCGGTTTGTAAAAGGATATGACACACTGTTGTTTTAAACATTTTGTGTTTTTCCATGGACAAAGGAGTCATTGATAATGCCAGAGGAATGTCACGGCCATTCCCGGGATTTGAAGAGGTGGAACCAGGGAAGAACGGATACGAAAGAGATTCAGCATGATATCAAGATCTTTTTCTTCTACGAAATCATTCCTTTATTTCAAAATGTCCTTCTTGTAAATATAAGTTGCACCCATTCCAAGATTAGATTTTTTTTGTTGTTGGTTTTTTTAATATTTCTTTTCAAGGAGCCCTTTCTCTGGCAAAGCAGGCAGAAGTGTCATGGCGCAGCGTCGTTTTTTTTTTAATATTTTTCTTTTTAAGGAAAATGCCAGAGGAGACCAAAGACCAGCTGTTTATATACAATCCATCTTCGCATCTCTATCGTTTCACATTTTCTTAGTCTCTTTCTCACGCTGAGTTTCTATTTTTACTCTGCCACATCAAAGGGCTATAAGAACCTTCACACAACCAAAACGCTCTCTTGTTCTGACAATGTACATAACTGATAGATCCGACTGGCCAGCTATACCTGTAAAACTCAATAAGCGTTGTACATAGTCAAAGTAATTTATGCAGCTAGTAGTTTTGTGCGGCCTGCCTCTTATGCTATGTTCGTCTGATGTGTAAAAATCACACTCACGGTTGTTACCTCAAAGCTGTCAAGAGCTCGACACGTCAAAGCAGGCAAGCAAATGCATTGCGACTCTTTCCTACTGACACACAAAGCCAACGATTATTTGCATATTTTCTAATCTAGCGCCTGTAGTTTGTGTATGAAGCTCAAGTTTCCTGTGGGGAAATCATGGTGGTTATATATAGCGTTCTACAGAGAGCTGTAGTCAGTGTTTATGGACCGTAACTGCCTCATGCAGCCTTTTCTATCATTTAATTCGACCTGAGTTTGCATAACATACTTCTTTTCAATTAAAAAACAACAACATTTGGGTGATCAGCTCTTTAATTTGGTGCTTTTGTGTTTTATATCTGCGTAATTGTAATCAATGCGAGAGGATTTGCTCGTAGCATGCTGCAATCGCCTACACGTGTCACCTCTCAGTCCTCAGATTGTTCTCTCTTGCATTTTGTGCAACTCATGGCTGATTTGTTACGTGCGGAACTGTTCTAATCTCAGTGAACGACTGTTTGTTAATATAAAGCTTTTGAGAAAGGCTGTGAAGGTCAGTAATTGTTCACCACAGCTTTCGGTGGGCTATGATGTGTACATATGATGACACATTGAATGTTCTGTTCGAGGAGGCGTTTCGGGAGTCGCGTGTCACGTGATCAGCTTAAATGTGATCAGATTCACACAGACTGTCATTGGTGAGTTACTTTTACGCCGTGCGTTGGGCAAAATAATAAGCCTGCAATATCAAATAACTCACTGTGATGAGGAATTTAGTGAGTTGCGAGTAGTACTTTGCCCATTCTTGATCTTTAACGCAGTGTGGTGAGTCTGCTTACTGCTTTCAGCCGTCTTCTCAAGCTTGTCTGGATTTCTGGGATTGTTTGTGCCTCTGAATGTCTGCGCAGCTATGCTCTGTAATGCACCGCGAATGCGTTTTAACAGCTGGTGACTCCTCGTCTTTCCCCTTCTATGATGCTGGTGTTACCTTTACCGTACATCAGCACTGATCAATACAGTGACAGCGCACTTCCCCGAATCGAGCGATCACACAAGTGATGACTTCATTTATCCCCAGTTGGGTTGTTTACAAAACGAGCAAGCTTAAAAGACAGAAATAGCGAGCCATATCTAAAACTATTTCTGTTGTTGAAATAAATGATTTAAAAATCGTTTAATATTGTAATATTTACGAGCCTTTGTCATGTTGATGAACTCGCTGCCCCTTTGAGATAATGAATCTAATGCTGCACGTCTCTGAACCTACAAAGACTGTTTGGGTATCTTCATACCACATTAAATAGGCCTTAAAGTGGGATTTCTGGGTATGTGCTCGTCCATAGACGAACTATTTTGGTGTTAATAGCTTCTAAAAACGTTGTTCTTTTTATTCTAAAGTCATCCCGGAATATTTTCATGCACTTATAACAAGAAAAGCTCCATTGAATATTCATTTAAAAGTGTTTTCCCCTATCCTATTTCCTCATTAGAACCAAAATTGTGCAGAAATTGTATTTGTGCAAGTTTTAATTGTGCAAAAAAAAATAATGTAAATGATTGTTGGTAACCAGCATGTTTAAATGTTCTAGTCACTGAAACCTTTATGCAAATGACATTACATAAAGCCATTTATTGAATAATTGATTGGACCGTAGAGATGGTGGCTGGGACGGTTTTTCTCCTTTGTGAAGGAGTCTTTAAATTATTTCCTAATACCAGCACAGATTTCATACCGTGTACAATTTTCCATTGCAAGACAGTCAATCATTTCAAAATTTCTCATTGAGAAATCCTGTTTAATGCTTGTTACCTGCTTATGAAGTCACAAATCCAAGCACCAAACTGAAACGATTGTGGCTCAAAACTGTTAAGACATTTGCCTCATTTTGCTTTTCAAGTTACTGAATTTGAACATCTGCGGTTGTCAGATGCTGTAATAAGTCTTTTCACTTGTTGTTTCCTCTTTGAAATGTTACGTGGGAACTGTTCATGTATTCTATATTCAATAATGTGTTGGGAAATCTTGCGCTACGCATATATTTGTGTAAAAAAAAAGAAAAGAAAAAAGTATGCTACTTGTGAAGAAGGAACACGTGGTCCTGAAGGACTCTCGTACTGTTGGGAAGCAGATCTCTGCGGCCTGAGCTCCCTTTCCCGGATGAGGATCACTCTCTGGGAGTTTATTTCATAAAGGGACGGAGAGGCTTTTATTTTTCTGAATTGTCTAAATACTATATTATATGTACTGGAAAGAGACAAAACTATTTTTCATCTGCACATTCTACTTTCTTTTGTTTATGTGATAGATATTAATCTTGTTTTCTAAAGACAAAAAAAGACTCGGAACTAATATGAAAATGAATAAAAGGCTATTTTGTTCTTTAACTTGTTTAATATTCATTTTGTCAGGATCTACCTGTCTTTATATATGTGTGTGAGTGTGAATGAATAGTCATACATTTTAATACTGACTTGTGGTTGATCCCTTTAAAGAAAATAATTTTTTGTTTATTTCAAAGTCAGATCTTTAAGTCAGTTTTATCTAGGATCCTTCGAGTCATGACTCGAAAAAAGATTTGTTCATTTTGATGAACGAGTTCGAACAGGAGAGTCACGAACGCTCATCACAGAACAAAGCAAGGTGAGCATTTGTGCTTATAAAACTTAATTTATTTTTAAAATGACTGATCGTTTTGCTAGATAAGACCCTTATTCATCGTCTGGTGTCGTTTAAAGCCCTTTGAACAGCCCCTGAAACTCTCATTTGGACCTTGAACCGTTTGGTTCCCAATGAAGTCCATTATATGGAGAAAATCCTGGAATGTTTTCATCAAAAACCTTCATTTCTTTTCGACTGAAGAAAGAAAGACATGGACATCTTGGATGACATGGGGGTGAGTAAATTATCAGCAAAAGTTTTTTAAAAGTGAACTACTTTAAATGTGTAAACACAGTTATTCAGGCTATAACTGATAGGATGGTAAGGTGCGTAAACGCACACAGGCGGGCAGGCCTCATGTAGAGTAATAGCAAAAAAGATTACTAAATTATGTACAACAACTATTTTATGTTGGTGGTCTCGCCATACAAGCACTGTCATTTAAAATATAATTTGCTTGATAAAAAATGCATTATCACGACACGAACTTCCTAAAAAACACTTGATGTTAATGAAAACACTCGAGCAAAGAGAACAAGATATTCATAAATAATCTCTTTTTTTCCTTAACCTCAAAAATTGGATGATACAATACATGCCTCTTCCTGGTGTGTGACTGAAAATGAACACACACACACACACAAATAATCCCTGAGGGACTCGGTTTTGTATGTCATGCCTCCTCCGGGACAGCAGCCCTCAGGAAGCAGAGAACAGATATTAATTAAAGTCAGGCTATAAGGACCCGCACACAACGCTGATTAACCAAAGCCCACAACACTCCTCAAAAAACTCACTTTCATTTCTGCAGAAATGCAAACAGAAAGAATGATGAAAGCGTCAGGCTCATTTTACCGTGTTGACGGTGTCGGCGCCGTAAGCTACAGAGAAACTGGGAAGAACTGTTGATATGAAGAGATGCAGCCGATACGAACCTGGAATAACCTTATGAAGATGAAGCATGTTTTAGAAAGTTTGTCGGATAGAACTTTTAGTTCATGAACTATGGCTGTGTGTTCAGGATAGTGTCTTACTTCTCTTTACATCAAAACCTACTGCATTTGCTAGAATTTGAAGTATACACTAGGGTATCACTACGGAATAACACGGAACAATGAATAATAACTCAATAGAGTTACAGTCAAATAAAAGTGCAGGACCAAAATCTAATGATTCTTCTTTGTAAATTTCAAAAAAACAAAGCAGAGACTGTAGAATAAATGATATTTGAGAGCATAAGGCCTTTTTTTATTGCCCTGGTGCCTTGGGCGCAGCTGCAGATGCTCATAAAAGACCTGAGCAACCGGGTCACTGCTTTTATTGCGCTGAATGGACTTCATGGCTTCACGCTGCAGGTTTGCTTTAATTGCACCTCACCTAAGGTCCCACAGATGAAGATCGTCAGTAAGGCTCATTAACTTCCAATTAACAGTCTGTTTACCCCAGCCATCACCTGTAAGCGCTCTCGGTTTATGTCTGTTCAACATGGATCCACAACTCCAGCAACAACAATCCTGTAGTGTAGATTAAATGAGCACGCTCCGGGGTGGAAGATGAAAATATGAGTCTAAACGCATATCAGGGGACTGAATACGTGACTCCTCTGTTTGGTTTATTAACTGCTGATGTTTAGTTTTGACAGCTCACTATCCGTGTAGATATGAAGGCCTGATAATTGGGTTGTTCTTAGAAACTGTGCCTTTTGTGTATTAAAATTACACAATGATTAGCTACTTTAGGGGGGACTTTGAATTGAAATGAAAATGAACTTTGAATTGAGCATATTTTCTCACTTCTGGCCCAAAGTACAGGATATGTAACCATTGTAGACATCTTTATCTTCAATATAGTGGTTCTGAGATGGTGCTGCATTCACACCGAGATGACAACATGTGAGAATGAATCTGCAGCGGCTACGTGGTAAGTTGAAGTTTTCCGAAAGTTCGAGATGGTCCTGCAGAACATGAAATCCACGGGGAGGAGTCCCTAAACCCACCCCTAATCCTACCCAGGTCCACCCCTGATCCCTAAACCTACTCCTAAACCTACCCAGCTCCACCCCCTGATCCCTAAACCCACCCCTAAACCTACCCAGCTCCATCCCCTGATCCCTAAACCTACCCATTTCCACCCCCTGATCCCTGAACCCACCCCTAAACCTACCCAGCTCCACCCCTGATCCCTAAACCTACCCAGCTCCGCCCCCTGGTCCCTAAACCCACCCCTAAACCTACCCATCTCCACCCCCTGATCCCTGAACCCACCCCTAAACCTACCCAGCTCCGCCCCCTTGTCCCTAAACCCACCCCTAATCCTACCCAGCTCCGCCCCCTGATCCCTAAACCCACCCTTAAACCTACCCATCTCCACCCCCTGATCCCTGAACCCACCCCTAAACCTACCCAGCTCCGCCCCCTTGTCCCTAAACCCACCCTAATCCTACCCAGCTCCGCCCCCTGATCCCTATCCCCACCCCTAATCCTACCCAGCTCCACCCCGATCCCTAAACCCACCCCTAATCCTACCCAGCTCCACCCCCTAATCCCTAAACCCACCCCTAAACCTACAGAACTCCACCCCTCAGATCTGGATCCAACTTTTTTTTTTCTTTGTAATTATGATAATTCAGACCTTAGTTCATAATCCAGACCTTAATTCAGACGATACTTGCACACCTTGCATTATATCTTCTAGTTGCACTAAACTAAATTGTAAAAATATTGATTGTTTTCAAAAAGGTTTCCTAAAAACTCCAGATGACTTTCAGTCAAAGAATTGCTTAATAATAGTTACTGTATATTTTCTTTTAAGACAAATCCTAAATTGCTATTTTAACTTTATTACAGTAATTTTAGAATTCATATGCTTACTGTATATCTTTTTATACCATGTGTGGTCAAAATCATGACCTTAAAGTGAAATGCATGAAATGGAAGTTCCAATAGTCTTTTCTTCCTTGTTGCTTGTAGGACACAGCCTGATGTTATGCATTAGGAATTGATTGGTTCATTGACTTGTTGTGGTTTTCCATTGGTCAATCTCATGTGAGTGACAGGTTGTCCCATTTTACTTTCATATTTTTTTTTCCACACTATTGAGGGCAATGGCGACCAACATTCTTCAAAATACCTTCCTTTATGTTCAACAGAACAAAGAAATGCATACCGGTTTAGAACAACTTGAGGGTGAGTAAATGATGACAACATTTTCATTTTTGGGTAAACTATTCCTTAAGCATTTTTTGTTTTATAAATGATGCAATAATCCATATATAAAAAAAGAATTGTCCATTTTGATTTCATGGTGACTTTAAACATTATGTCAAAAAGATTAGAAAAAAAGCTAAATGTGCTTGGTCAGAAACTGAGTGAGAAAATGCATGAAAATTTTAGATAAATTTGATTGAATCTGTTAAATGTAATTGTGATAAAGGGGACCTAAAAATGTGCTGATATAAAAACTAATTAATGTTTTATGTTTTATTTTGCACTCAACACTAGGTTAAATAGCATCAAATCTGTCATATAATTGGACTGATTTTTGTAAATGGGCCATTTGAAAATCCAGTAATTATATCAGTGGTAAGTCATGGGGACACAAATGGCACCGATTCTTGAAAACGACCCAATCACCATATCAATTTGAAATCTCTTGAAATGGTTCGTTCTGTAATAATTAATCTGTCATTTTGAGCAGGTCTCTGAAAAGCCTGAGACAGCACGGTTAATTAGTGTCTGAATATTGGTTTCATAAGAGGTAAAATAGTTCTGCAGTGATATTTTTCTGTGCTACTTATACAATGACCTTTTCCTCTGTATAACAAAAATGAGTGGAGAAGAAAGGGGAAGAAAATGAGGCTGCTTTAAGAAATGAAAAAGAAAACCTTGTTAAAAAATCAGAATAGAAGCTTGCATGGGATTGTGCAAGGCCAGGCTTCAGATTCCTTTCAAACCCAATGTGAACCAGACTAGTCCTGCAGTGATCCTGGTTTCTCTCTCTCATGGGTTCCCTTCTCCTCGCTCCAGCGCTCCTGTGTCCTTTAGCATATACTGAATTACAATGACCTATTTTGTCAATGTCGAGCCCTAACGAGGAGAACAGGCGGTCTGCGGCGCTATGACAGTCATTAGAAGCCATGACTGCAGCAACGTCTCATGAACGCAGCAAACATCTTCACATAAATAACTGCTCTCAATCTACCGCACGAATGAGACGAGACATAGCATATCAATATACACAAATGTAATGTGTTTGATTGTGCAGAGGTTTTTATTGGGTTGTTAACTTTAATATATTTTGGTCATTTGCTTTGTGAGCATATACGAAAGATTTAATTTTTACACTTTTACTTCCCTTATAATGATAGTCAAGGTTTCTAGTGCAATGCTATGCAGTTACGCTGGCATTCTGACTAGTTTCTGACTAGGGAATAAAAGACAAAATGTGAGTGGTGTTTTTCCGTGCAGCACTCACTTGTACAATGCTAGTGTGTTGTGGGTGGTTGTCAAGGCATTTCTATGCAGTATTCAAGGTGGTTCTAGTGGTTTCTAGACCATAAAAGACCAATTTGAGTGGTGTTTGTTTGTGCACAACTCACTGGTACATTTCTGTGGTGTTTGTCAATGGTTACAGGGCGTTGCTATGCAATTTCTAAGTTGTTCTGGGTAGTGTCTAGTGCTCTATGCATTTTCCAGTATTCTGCCTGTTTACTAGAGCACAAACAGGA